GTACTTTTTAATATCAGCGTTATACAGTTTCTTAGAAGACATCGATTCAATACTTTGAATTTTCTAGATGACAATGCATATATCAAGATACATATCATCTTCATATAATCGATTTTTATATTTGTGCTAAAGGTTAAAGTTTACATAAAATTTAGTAAAACGAGGTGCAAGTGAAATAATGCAAACGTCAACTATATGCGACACAAGAAATGTTTCTTTTTACATAATTACAGACAGTTTCCTATACGTTTGTCATTTTTTGAGATCGTACCAATCGGCTGTTTACGATATAGGAATTATATAATGTCCCACACGATACGTCGTACAATTGTTCGACAATGGTATCGATTTCGGTGCAATGTTACGAATAATTCGTGTTGGCTAATAAGCTACGTGATACGCACACATTAAATTGAACGAGACAACTACGCGAACGTTTGTCGTTTGCATGGAGACTAGCAGAGATCACTTCTTCCTGAATGTCCTAGAAGAAACGACCACCCGAAATCGGGATGTTAACGTGACGATACGCCCCTGTCGTATGCGCAGTGCGATCAATCTACTATCTCAATTTTCCTGCTAAATAAATAATAATTTGTTAACAGGATTTGTCGAAAAATCGCGCTTCACGACGTAGATTACGTTTGCCCAAAAATCGTGATTAAAATAAGGGCGAGAGGATAGTTGTAATTTCGTATTTTCTGTCGGTTGTTTTGAGAGAGTGTAAAGACATCGTCCAATAGGAGTCGAGTGGCTGGCTGACAAGTTGCGTCGGGGTGGAGATGGGCAGGGAACAGGAGCTTGTACGCATTCGGCCCGTGAACTGTAGGTTTCGCGAAGGGGGTCAACTTCTCTGTCTGGTCGTAATTTATTCCTGTGTTATTACGTTCGAGTTCGGACCATTTGAAACACGATTTTAATGTCACTCACGTGTCGGTTTGTTAACATTATTTATATGGAGATCGTGGAGCGCTAGAAGATGCTGGTAAGGAAACAGGCGGGAGGAACAGATTGACGTAGAAACAAGTGCGCAAACGATTGTATTAGTTGAGTTTCCTTTATGACTGGATCGTGTGGAAACGAGAAAGTTTAAAAACCCGTGCTTTTGTTACGTAGTTACAACGCTTTCGCAGGTGATTTACTTCGGACGAATGTCTCGCCTAAAGTACCTTCGAGGTTACGACTATTACCCGATGTCTGAGAAATCGACGGGCTGTCACGAACGTAGTGGACTCCGTTTTGAAAACGTGGTTAAGACGTCAAAGTACGAGATTTCATTTAAACGTGATACCATCGTGCGAAAGTTCTTGTTTATCGTAGGACAATTTCGATTTAAGAAGAATGAGAGAAAAAAATATAAGAGAGAATCGCTCTGTACCTGCGAGGCATGACCGCCTACATAAACAATAGCTCATCATACGAGGCAGCTGCCGTTTTTATGCCACTTTTAATGCTTTCATCATCGTCGCGCTCCTCTCGTCAATTAAAATTTGAACAAACTGCACATACCGTAATAATCCGATTAAATATATCTTAACAAAGACTAACTAAAATTATATCTGCCATTGTCATTACTATTTTTTTTTATTATGGTAAAACATGTAATCAAAGATATTCAAATTCCATCCTATGTATATACCTTTTTATTTTGAACAAAGAATGAATGTGTGGTGACTATATGAAAGTATGTCACAGACAGGAGTTATATATAAAAGAACATTCAGTCAGTGTGTATATTTTCTGTTACAGGGAGACGATCCACCGTACCTATCTGTGGGTACGGAGGTCAGTGCTAAATACAAGGGTGCCTTCTGTGAAGCGAAAATTCGAAAAGTAGTAAGATCAGTAAAATGCAGAGTGACTTATAAGCAAGGTTTAGGTACAGCGACAGTTGCTGACGATCAGATAAAGGGAACGTTAAGAGTAGGTGCATCTGTTGAAGCTAAACATGGCGATAGAAAAGAATTTATTGAAGCTACTATCACTAAAATCCAAGACTGCAGTCAGTACACTGTGGTTTTCGATGACGGGGACATCACAACGTTGAGAAGAACGGCGCTTTGTCTAAAGAGTGGCCGGCATTTTGCAGAGAGCGAAACATTGGACCAACTCCCCTTGACGCACCCGGAGCATTTCGGTAACCCAGTAATCGGCGGTAGAAGAGGGCGGCGGTCTAGACAAGCGCAAGATGAGAGCAGCGACGACGAGGACAGCCCTCCGCGAGGTAATCGCGACTCGGGCTCCAGCGGGACAGGCAAGGAGGGAATGGAGACGGAACCCGAGATCGGACGGGTTGTATGCGTCGAGCTCGGGGATAAAAAGAAGAAAGACAATTGGTTCCCCGGGCTGGTGGTCGCTCCGACTGCCCAGGATACAGTGAGAATTCGAGTGAGAGACGATTATCTCGTGCGCTCGTTTAAGGACGCGCGATATTACACAGTCCCGAAGAAAGAAGCCACCGAATTCACAAAGGAGCTTGTCAACAAAGTTGAGAATAGCACGTTGAAGGTAGCGGTAGAAAAGGCGTTGCTATTTTTAGAAAAGAATGAGTTACCTCCCCATTGGGACAAGGATTCTCTTTTTGGACATTCTGTATCAAGCGGGAACAGCGATTCCGATGGCGAGCTTGATTCCGATAGCTCCGACGATGAGCCGCGCGAAGAGAAAGATCATTTCGTGGCGCAACTGTACAAGTTCATGGACGATCGCGGTACTCCTATTAACAATTGCCCAATGATTGGCTCCGAGGATATAGATTTATACAGGCTATTTCGAGCCGTTTACAAATTAGGTGGTTATAATCGTGTGACAAATCAAAATCAGTGGAAACTGATAACACGCCGTCTAAGCTTCACAATGCAAAATTCTCCGTCTACGCACAATTTGGTTAAACAAGCCTATAAAAAATTCTTGCACTCTTTCGAAGACTTTTATAGAAAATTGGGTTGTACTATGGTAAACCATCCGCGAGGCGTTATGCGTAAACAGCGTCCTGGTAGAAGTTTGATCAGGGACAGGGACAAAGATAGAAATACGCCTGTACCGCCACAAGTATCGGTAGCCAAGAACGAGAAGGAGGAAGAGGAGAAGAAGGTTGTCGAGGAGGAGAAGAAGGAGAAAAAAGAAGTGAAGAAAGAGCCTGTCAAGGAGGAAGAGGTTGTTAAGATTAAGAAAAAAGAGGAATTCGAAGAAAGCGGTAGCGGACAAGAGAGCGATGTGAACGTAGAGGCCGAAGCTGAGTCGTCATCAAGCAGTGAGAAGTCCCAAAAGATCTCAACGTCTTCGTCCTCATTGCCGAACAGAGGTAAATCGAAAAGTAAAGAAGAGCCGAAGAAGAAAGTGATTGAGAAAAAGAAAACCGAGTCTCGAAAACAGGAGAAGAAAGATGATAAGACGAAAGAAGAGGATGCTGCTAAGACGAGATCGAAATCTAAAGACGACACTGTCAAAAGCAAAGCATCTTCGGAGAGTAGGGAAACGCGAACTCCATCCAGGGAATCGGAAAGGAAAAATCTATCGAAACAAAGGCGATTGATTGAAGAGGAACTAAAGAAACGGGGAAGAAAGCGTAAAGAATATGAGACTGAGAAATCTCGTACAGAGGAACCGTTAACGGAATCTGCACCTTGTTACAAAGGGCCTGTAGAGTTAGGAGACAGGTTAAAAGTATATTACGGACCTACTCATGAGTCCAAAGTTACTTACGAAGCGAAGGTGATCGACATAGAGAAAGAAGGCGCGGAACCAATGTATTTGGTACATTATACTGGATGGAATACAAGGTACGACGAATGGATTAAACCGTCGAGGATAGCACAGAACTTCACGCAAGCCCAAGGAAGAGTAAAACGGATTAAAGCCACTTCGCGACCTCAGACTCCTAGTACAAATTTATCGAACAATAACGTAAACAAGTCTTCGAAAAATGGTTCGAATGCCAATTCAACTGGATCTCAAAGTCGTCGACGAGCTCAAAGTGTAGCGCCTACGACGTCGGTCAGTTCGTCTACTTCGACGAAGGAGGTCAAGAAAGAAGAGAAAGACAAGGATAAAGAGGGATCTCAACCTGCGAGATCCACGACTCCGTTGTCCGTCACAAGCTCCAGTTCTAGGACCAAGAGTCCTGCGACACCAGCGAATAGTCGTCAAACGCGAACGAGGAACAACGATGCCAGCGTCGAGCACCGAAGGCGAACGAGGAGAACGTCTGGACACACAGATATCGTTCTATCTGAAACTGAAGAGAGCGAGACGTATGATTCGGATACAACGGAATCTGAACAAACGAGAACCAAGCCCAAGGCTACGGAGGATAGAAAACGTAGAGAAGCGAGATACAGGACGGAGGATAGAATAAAGCCCGATGAAACGAGCGAAGGTGAGGAGGACAAAGACAATTTGGAGGAACCGCGTAGAGGCAGACGTTTGAGAAGAACGATCAGCAAATCTCAAGGTATAAAATCTGAACCAGATAGCGACGAAGAGCAGCCGAAAGGCCGAGACTTCGATTTGAATCAAATACGATCTGAATTAAAAGGTTTTGACAAAGCGGTGAAGTTAGAGCTGGTCAGGGTCGAACCCGATCCGGAGGATGAAATAAAGATGGAAGAAAAAGAGAACGTCGTAATGGTCTCGCCGAAATTAGAGAAGAATTTAGAGCCGACAAAGCTAGAAACAGCGCCTGAACCTAAAGCAATAGATAACACCGAAGATATATATGAATTCAAAGAACCAGAACCATTTGAATTCGAAGTGCGGAACAAGCGGGATACGAGCGGAGACAAAGACAAAGTGAAGAAGAGGGTATTTGAGGAAGAGCCGAAAAGTCCTAAGAAGAAACAGAAAATCGTTGTATCACCGGTTATCAAGGAACCGAAGTCAGATACAGACAATGATTCGCGAAAGAAACCGAAGAAATCGTTTAGTAAACGAGTCGACGATATTACGGAAACTTTACTTTCCCACAAACCAATTCAACCTCCGTCACTGGCAACGTGTGAAGAAGCATTTGACAAGCTGTGCGAATCGCCATCATTTAGTCAAGTAAAACCAGCGTCTATCATTGAAGAGACGAGCAAAATAAGTAACGGCATGGATCTCTTATTTAGCGATTTACCCGGAGACGACGATGGTACTCACGACGATTCGGAAGATCGTTTGATAATATCAGAAGCCGAAGTTTCGGAAGCTGAACAAGAAAACTTATTTACATATCAACAAGAAATGTTTCCCTCGAACGATACAAATGGCTCGGTAGATACGAATAAAGAAGAGACAAGTTCGCAAAATGAATCGATAAAAGAAAATGTAACACCGCCGATTTCGAGTAAGCCTGATGTACCCGTTGAACAAAAGCCAAGCGTGAAATCGCCGTTACATAGACAATCACCAGAGTTGAAACCATCGGAGTCCAAGCTGTTGGACGTTACGCCTGTCCCGTCTCCGATAGTGACAGTACCAGCACCGATTAGCGCAAGACTTCCGGCAACTTCTACGATAGAAGAAAAACTTTCAGCCGCGATGGCTTTCCGCAATAAGACTAAAGATGTTAAGAAAGAAGAAGAAATATCGGAACCTTTATGGAAACCAAAAGAAGTGGCCAAAAAACTGGATATCATGGCTGTGCAGAAGAATAAAGATGAGCACGTGTCGAAAATAGAAATCGAGACTAAGAAACAGCGGGACGAAGAAGTCGCAATAAGTAATGAAGACCAGTGCAAGGATATAATGCGCGCGGTGATCAAACAAAAAGAGGAGGAACTTCAACAACTCAAATTGAAGAAAGAAGTGGAGATAAAGAAGTTTGTTGAAACGAAAACGGAACACAAGAAAGTAGAGACCGAGGAAGAAAAATGGAAACACGTGGAGAACGAGAAGTCGAAGAAACTGGAAGACGATTTTAAAGAACATGATCTGAAAGAAAAGGAGAAAGAAAAACGCAAGAAACTGATTAGCCAAGATGCGACAGACTCTGCTGACAGCAGCGATTCCGAGCAGAGACTTGTAATCGATAACGAAGAATTGCAAGATGTAAAGACCCCGTCAAATTTTGATGTCAAATTAAGGGCAGAATTGGACAGGCTTCAGGACACACAAGAAAGATACTCGAAATTACAACCACAAAAAGTTATCCAACCATTGAAACACCAACAACAGGAATGTCTCGCCGAATTTAAGACGGAGAGTACGCCTGTTGCGAAAACTGATGAAGAAGGAGAGGCGATCAATTCTTTATTGTGCGAAGAAGAGATACCAGGCTCTCCAGCGCCTGTCACCGAAAGTATAGAACAAATAAATGCAGGTCCATCCTGTTCTCCTCCGAAAGTCGAAGCCACGGAGAGCAGTATAGTGCTAATGGAAATGCCTTTCGCGAGCGCGCCTACGTCAGGACAAAGTACAACTAGCAGTACTGTCGCCACCCTGAGCATGGCACTGCCAAAAACTATCGAAACGTCCGTTCCGGTTTCTTTGCCTGTACAACAAAATCCAACACTGGGCGTGAGGCAACAGTCCCATCATCATCTGCCCGCGCTAATGCCAGCGCAAAGGAGGGAAAGCAACGAAGCAGCCCCTGTAATGGATAATACTCCACCGACCACGCCCGACTCGAGTATCTCGAATATCTCTGGCTCTCCCAGAGAAGAAAGAACAGGCGGTTCATCACCGACTTCCGAGGATAACATGAAACACAATCGAGATAGCTCGGAGCCTGATAACGACTGTGGCGGTAAAGGTCCAGGATTTAGTGAGGACGACACGTTACCCAACGCGGAAGGAAATTCCGCGGACAGGATATTAAAACCACCCGCGAAACGATCTGTCGAAGAGACGCAATCTCCTAAGAAACGTAAAAGGAGTAGAAAGCACTCGGAGTGCGAGAAGAATGCTACTAAGAAAACTGCGAGACATAGCAGCAGACATGGTAGTAGACATGGTGCTGGTAGCGACAGCGACGATACGAGCGAAGGTTCCAATTTGTGCGGAGTTAATTCCGCTTCGGCGAACCATACGAATATTGCTACCGTTCCAGATCTCAGTTCCTATTCATCCAGGTCACCTCGACCAACAAAATATAACTTCTACGTGGAACTAGGTAAGAAAGCTTGTTTCTTTTCATCTATCATATTTTTCATTGTGTCATTCACAGAGTGCGTGATTCTTTTCTTTTACAGATCCTGAATTGGATGGTAGTCAAAGAATAGCAGTATTGCAGCAAAAATTAGCTGAATTACGAAAAACGTACAATGCTGTGAAAGTCGAGCTCGCCGGCATTGAAAGACGCAGAAAGAAATTGAGGAGGAGAGAACGGGAGGGTAAATACTTAATTCGTTCAATCCTTTGATCGGTTAATACATTCTTCAATTCTATAAATCTTATATCGGGACTCGTTTCAAGCGTAGGCAAACTGATTTCATTTGATTCCAGCTATAAAGGCAGCTAAAGCGGAAATGCAACAGGCCTGTTCGTGATGAGCTGCCTTGAGGCATTTGAGCTCACTTAATCTGCGTTGAGAATACTTTTATACGAATGGGAAGGAAAGCATAGGACATCCTGCGCATCACAGCAAATTTCATGACAATTTTTATCTAACGCCGATTAGGTAAACTTTTCCCCCAATAATAATATAAATTGTAGATATTAGGTATAAGAGTTTAGTACATAAAGGAGGAACACATTTACCATAAATGAAAAATATATATTCATATATGCTTTTGTGTTGTACATTGTTTTGTCAAATAACGTAAATTCGTGACAGTTAACAAATTTCTATCTTCAATTCGTCATTCTTCATCTGCTCAGATGCAAAGTACAAATTATCGAACTTGATGATCATTTTCATCGTTCATTCTTCTTTTTTAAGAAAAGGCTGAGAAAAAATGTTACCGAATAGCGTGTTACTGTAAAGACATCTTGGGAACAAATAATTGTCTAAGCCGTCTGTCATTTCTGTTTCGAGCATAACTTATATGGTATCATTGGCGGTTGAGCTGTTTTCAAGACGAAATCATGAGACGAGGATGTCAAGTGCAACAAACATTATATATTTCGTAGGATAGAAAATTCTGTACATATTAGAGGTAGTGTGAATGGTTTGCAATATGAATATGTACGAAAAGGATAAGAGATTCTAGAATTCTCGAAATTTGTTTTATTTAAAAACTGAAAGGAGATGTTGCAATTTAAACGTGATTTTAAAGTAGAGGAGAAGATATGTAAAGCAATGTTCGTTCATTTCACTTCCGAGATGAACGAACGATTGTATTATACATCGGTCGTGTATGTAAGCGTAGCACAGTTCTTAATTTCCTAATAAAGGAAGATTAATTGTGTAAATAATTCACGTGAGTAAGATGTGGTATCGTAGTTGTTCGGAAATAACGATTATTGCAATTAACTGTCGTATTCGTACTCCGGTATAAAATTTCTTGACAAACTGCATAGGATTGGAGCCTTCAAGCTATGCAATTGTCATGAATGCAGCTCAACGGGATTCATCAATTTACAGCCTTTTGCATTATATCTGAAGAATTGCTGCCATTGTGCTTTAATCATCAGATTAGGTATTAGAAGTTTCTCATTGTCGTATATCATAATTGGTCAAAGATGCATTTATATTTCTATTTGGGCGTGCTATGCACCCCAGTACTAAATAAACAGAAAACCAAAAAAAGCAGAAAACTTTAAGCAACAAGTTTGCCGAAAATGAAATCAAACAACCCTGAATGGAATTAAATTTGTATGAAGAACGTGTTGGCTGAGAAGAGAATGAAAATTTTATATAGATATATATATAAATATATATTATATTTTTTATATAAAAAAAAAGTATCAGTTGTGAACGTGTTTCATGATGTCAGGCAACACGGTCATACACTGATTGGGGGGAAAGACGAAAGCAAATTAGGAGTCGGGCTCCATAAAATCTTTGTAAATATTTTACATCGCGCGTGTCGAACGAGACACCCGTAAGTCAGATTTTAGTAGTTGTTTATCGCACACAGATATAGCTGCGCATATTATTGTATAATGATTTCACAAATCTCGCAGTAGCACACGCTGTATATGTGTCTTAAGAAGTCACGAGGATGTGCGTCGACGCTCGATTAAAGTGCACGCGAAAAAAGTTTACACTTGACCGAAGTCAAGACAACCGAATAATTGTTTTATTTATTTTAAACCAAGGATACCAGTGATATTGAAATTATTTTGTTCTCGGGTTGGGTGATCATTATTTAATAATGAAGATAATTAAAAGTATTTAAGAACTATGTGTACCATCGCTTTTTTGTTGTAAACAATTTTCCTACAGACGCACGGACACAGTTCTCCTTCTTCAAACATTATTTTACTTTAATTACCCTGCGTAAAATTTTCAATGCCGTTAATTCAATCATGTTACTCTGATTTACCACAAATGTTCGTATTATATCTCTAATCTATAAGGAAAAAATGCAGTTATTAGTTGTTAACTTAGAAAACAATTGGCAAGACAGGTGAAGACAAATTGTAATGTAAATGTTTCGACCCTGAACAAAACAGAAGTTTATACTGTGTATTCTTATATGATAAGGATCACATGTTTGTAATAATAAATGAAACGGAAACAAGGAAATCGTTTTATCAAGATTGTATAATGTGAATGCTGAGTGGAGAACGCATCCTTGTCTTCTGAACACAAAATTTCTCCCTGTAAATCACGGATTACATGTGAGATAACACATATAGTGAGCACAATGTGGATTGTGTCGCCAACCAGTAATATTGTTCCACATAACATTTAATTGTGTTAGCGGATATTGTTAAGAAATAAATCTTATCTTAACAAATTTTAGCGATGTCATTTCCCCTCCGCGCGAAATTTGTTAGCTACGAGAAATGGAGAATATAAAATGATCGATTAGAATTTTTGTATAAATTATTTATTATATTGCAACTTAAAAGTGAACATTCAAATTCTATTAAACTCTGTATGATAAACATACGTTCATACAATATATTATAATTATACGATTCTTGTCATTATTTTAATTTATCATATACATATTATCGTAGTTATGTTTAGTAACAGAAACATCAATTTAATGTACAATAGTGTCGATGGCATTATACACCTAATATATAGTGCTAGTATCAGGTAGAAACTTTAACGAAAATTTGTTACACTATCCCTAGATTCAATCGTTTCGTGTGATGTTACATTTGAACGAGCTGACAACTCGCTTTGACATACCTATCTATTTATCTTTGTACACCAGCAGTATAGATCGCTTAGGGAAACAATACTATAATTAAAAAGATGATTAAAATATTTCTTAATGAAACCAATGCTGGTCACGTAAAATAAAATATAAATTCTGTGATCCTAACATAATTTGATCTGCAATACCTTTATATAAATACGTATCTAACTTTCTATTATTGCTCTTGTCGATAGAAAAAAAATAGATGTGTAATAAACTAATAATAATTATTGATATAGTTTAAGTTATGTTACCAATTAATAAAAGTGGCTGTAACAGTAGGCATAAAAAGTAAAAAAGTTTATACAATAAATCAGATTTGTACATTATAAAATATTCACTAAGACATGTTTAAAGAAAATCATTTCTATCAAATTTTCAGAGACAAGTTTTGACCAAATAACTCTACAGCTTGCCAGATCAATCGATCGTGTGTATATATATCTTTTTGTCTGCTACTAATAAATTACTAAAGTAACAATACAAATGAGATAGAGAGGAAGAGAGATAAAGTTGTTTAGCAATATTGAGCAAGGTAATCTGCTTTTAATTCTATGTGTCAACATGGAGGTGGGCTAGATGCAGGTGCTGTATCAACGGTCTGCGTTGATGTCGATGCAACTGTTGACGATTTATTCTGAGTGGTTAATCTTCGCTTAGCTACCAAAAATTGTTCCATTAATTCGTGATGAGCTTCTAGCCGTTCGATACAATGTAGACATGCCGTTTTAGGTAATGGATCATTCATGTTTACCTGCATGAGAAAAAAGTACAATTTTATGTTTCCTCACTAAAACTTTCAATAAATGATTATCTTTGAACAAAATACATTTCGGGCGAACGTTAGAAATTTCTGTCATCGACGTTTGTCGAATTAATGTAACAATACCCAAGTTAAATAAATTTCAATCCATGATTGATATAGTCGTGAAATTAAAATAAAAATATTGAAGTAGAAACTATCGAGTGTGTGTGTATATAGATATGAGAAGAAAACAAGATTACTTAACACGAGTAAGATGAAACCTTAAAGAATCGAATAAAGCATCACGCGAAATGAAAAGTTTGATTGATGCGTATCGCTGAGAGAATCTCAAGGGAAGGATTAAAATGATATATTTACCGTGATAGGTAGGTAAGCATTTATTTTTTCAGCAAGCTTCATTCTTTCACCCTCCTCGCCGTATATGTGGATCACAAAACGGTTCATCTTACTGCAAAGTCTGCATATAAATCCCGTGATCACAGCTTTGTCCGTGCTACCCATCTCGATTACTTTATCAAAACTTCTTCTCCTCGTATATGGCACTTATCGACACCGTATGTCTTAACACACACGTCAATTACTTAACACAAAAATGATTCCTCTATAAAATCGCACAAGATGTTGTGCTTCGTTCAAGATTAAGTTTGTTTATCATGGCTCTGAGCAGCTAGCGCTACCAACATCGTTCTGCTGCTTTCAGGACTGTCTGTATCGGATAGAAAATTATATT